CACCTGCTCTTCGTGCATGTTGCACTGGTGGCAGTCGAGGCAGCTCCCGCACTGCGCGCCGACACCGACGCGCGTCCCGATCGCGTACTTGATTGGGTCGACCTTGGACCCGGTGCGCACGACGTGCCCGACGATTTCGTGGCCGACGACCAGCGGGTACTGGATCGGTCCCCACCCGCCCGAGATCGTGTGCAGGTCTGAGGCACAGATGCCGCAGTGCGACACCTTGATCTCGATGCCGTTCTCTTCGTCGAACGGCCGCGCCTCGTACGTGTGCGGCTTGACGTCAAGACCCGGCGCGAACGCCGCTTGACCGTGGTAAATGTTGTTGGACGCCATGGTAGTTGTCGAGTTGGTGGTGCTAGAAAGCAGATTGAGGAATGAGTCAATGCGTCAAGATGCTTGCTGGGATGCCAACTACGGTCATCGCATGGCGCTCCGAAACGTCATTGAAGCGCCGTCGCGTCGCGTGATCGATCCGCCGCCACCTGGTGCTGCCACGCAATCGACTATACGCACTTTTTGTATGCGATAGAAACATCAAGTACGCGAAAAGAACACGGCCAATGTATCACATACAAATACGAAGATAGTGCAAGCCAAGGGACTTCAAATCAAAAAGAACCTTCGTCGCGTTCGTCGAGCACGCAAAGGTACGATGACGACGCCAATGCGAACACTCCCGAACGTGTGCTAAGGATGGTGTCGATAGGGCTCTGGAAGGACTTAGAAACCAGAAAGCTCTAGCATATTTTTACATCAACGCCGTCTTGAGCGTCAAGCAGGCCGCCGACTCTGGGGCCTGGCACCAGCCATTCTGGGACAAGCAACGCCGTCACCAGAAATCACTCGAATTTGCGCACATGAATCATGAATGAAAGTTTGTGTTGGTGGCAAACGCGACTCTTGACAAACATAAAAGACTAGGATCGGTCGAAAATGGGCTGGTATATGGGTTGGTGTGATGTGCAAGAGGTCAAAATGTCAGCTGGACGTACTACCCACGAAGGTGGACGTCCATATTTTGGAGGCCCTTGGACGGGTAGACGCAGCTATAAGCGCCGGTCTGGAGCGTCGAGCACCGGCCTTTTCTTGTCCCAGAATGGCTGGTGCCAGGCCCCAGAGTCGGC